TTATAAAACCAAGAGGCAGTGATGTCTTCTCCCATAGAAAGGCAGCAAGAGAAGTAAGAGCAATCTGTGCCTTGGCACATGCAGATCAAGACATAATGTAAAACCCATGCAGCAGGAAGAACACTAGCAGCACGGTAAAAGGAAGGTAATGTTTGCTTAGGAAGGGGAGAGTCTGTCCTGTTTTAAGATGATACAATCCAGACGTAACAAGGTGAGGAAGAAGCTGAAGTGCAAGCTCCATGGACGTATTTGTGCATCTTCTCTTTTTTTGTGCCAGAAGAAAAGAGGCCCGAGCGCTAGAAGGGGGCCTAGTAGGCAGAAGCCTGACAAGGGGAGGACGAGGAATGACTGAGGCCTACTAGCCTGCGCAGGGTGATGATGGACCAGCTTGAAGCTTCTACCAGGAGGGCTGAGTCAGCAGGAACTGAGGCCATTGGTTATTAATCATTTGTTATTAATCAGAGTCTTCAGGGCTTTATCAGATGATTGCAGATATAAGTTTGTTCATATCACACAAAAATGTGGTGGAACCGCAAATGATTTAGACCCTAACATAATCTGCAATGACATAAAAAAAACAAAAAACAAAAGCAAAAAACCAAAACCTACAGATAGTGATAAACAACACAGCAAACGCTTTATAAAACCATACCATTTGCTGCCGCTTGGAGATTCTAGAACTGTTTTTGATATTGATTATTTCCATAAACATTTAAAACCGTATGAAGCCTCTGAATCCATTCCTTCCTTTCCCTAAATGTACAATAGGTCGTAAAAGAGCAGGTAGCACCGCTTTTCGACAGAAAGACTGACAGTCAACTCATCGACATGAATGTAATCACAGCTTATTTCATAAAATTCATTCCTGGCCCAAAATACCTTCTACAGTTCTGAAGAGCCTACATAAACATATAAATAGCTGTGCCTAAGGGATGTCTCTAAGCCCACAAAGCCATAGATGGCATTTTCAAATAAATGACCTGAGGCTGCAGACATCATCCATTTTGCTCTGTTTGGCAGCATGCAAGTTTACATGCTAGGAAACATTTCTCAACATGAATGAGCTGTGAAATTGTTTCCTCCTGCCCCACACTCCTCTAAATTGTATTAGATTATGTCAGCCATTTCTACACCTTGTAAAAGCTGTCAGTGCCCCATGAGGTAGCATCAGCGGATTTGGAAGGAAGGGCCCCAGCCTCTGAGATGCTGCCTAAATATCAGTTGGTGCATTAGGAAAAATAATGGGAAATAACACCCCCTGCCTAAGGATGCATGGGAAAATGGCTCTGCTGCAAATCGAGACACGCCAGGGTATGTGATGAGGTGAACCATATACATTTCACTTCCTACACTGTAATCTTCTCAGGGAAATGATTACCATTGCATCCCACCTCGATCCAATGTCAAGCACTGCCCTGAGAGCGCAAGTGAATGATTTCACTGTGAAGAAAACAAGCTATGAATATATTCAGCGTCTCAGCTATTTCCAACCTGGAGCCAACTTTCCATCACCTGCATTTGCTTGCTTTGTGGGTTGTATATTATCTCTAATATTAACCCTGCACACACAGAATGAAGAGAGCAATTATGTTTCAGAAATGAAAATCTTTCCAGAGCAAAGCGTAAATGAAAGACCCCGAGGACGCTGACTGTTCTGTTACACTAATGAAGTTAACTGACAGTTGACTCTCAGTCTACATGTATGCGCACATGAGTACATGCAATGCAAAAGTCTCAGGTTCTCAGATGCCTGCAGTAGCTGCGGCACTCCATGAAGTTACTGTGTTCACTAGTCACAGGGCACACCCTGCTGTCCTGTTAGGGGGGATCCACGCACATGCTTCTGGTCTCTGCTGTGACTAATGCCTGCCTTTTGGTCACTGCACACTCTTTCTGTGTAGAACTTCCCAGCTAGGATTCAGCTTAGAGGCTCGTATATCTGAGGGTGCACTTAGAGACTTAGCTCCTCGCATCTTTTTTTTTTTTTTTTGCATTAATTTTCTGTCTCCTCTAACTGTAAAGTTCTATATTTTCAGATGTAAGGTAAGGGGCACTATTTATAAAGAAGACAATAAATCCAAATCCAAAGCAGAATGCTAGCCTTTGATAGAAATTAAATCACATGGATCACGTGGATCAACTTGTCCCACTTTATATGATGATATATGCTGATCTTAGAATTCTGCCATCTTCTATATTTATGTCCCAATAATGCCTTTCTGTTAATTCCCCAGACTGCTGAATTCATGAGTTAGGAGCCAATGTACAGAGCTGTAGTTTTTTTGAAGTTATATAAATTTTTAGGAAACTATGGATAACCATCTAGCAAATGGGCTTGAAAGCACCTTTTATGCTTTATAGTCTGTCCTTTCAAATTTCACTATGAAGGAATATAAATTAGTTTTTCCTAAGTGTATGAACACTTGACTGCATAAAAATATTGTCTGTTCTGTTGGTGGATTTACTTGTATTTTAACTTTTAGGATCAACCTGAAAAAGGGATAGCTAGAGTCACAAACTATCCCATCAAAATGCTAATCACGCATCTAGTATTTATGACTCTTCTATTCAGCTTGGTGAAAGAAAACAAACCATGTGACCCTGCATAGTGGAAATGAGTCATGTTGAAGTCACAGAATTCTAAGGTTGGACCTGACCTCAGATGACATTAATTCCAATTTTTTTCTTTTATACATGAGGGTGTTTGTGTTATTATGTGAAATCTGGAAAGGGTGAAAGGCTTATCTGAGATCATTTACCATGTTAGTTGCTAAATGATGAAAAGGGCCCTTTTCTTCTTTTGAAGTCCAGGCTCTACTTTCTAGAGTATTTTACCCTCATTCTTACTTGTTCAAACTACAAATTCTCAAGCCGCTATCATTAGGATTAAAGTTGGATTTCCAGCTATTGTTCATACAGGAAAGAAACTTATTAGGCAAGGCTGCATGTGATACCGTCTATATCCATCCCTCTATCTATCTATCTGAAAATACCTTTTACATACACTGACATTCTAATTTCAATTTTAAGCTCTTTTTTTGTGAAAGCAACACCTCTCCAAATTGTGCATAGACCAAGACCACAAGGATGAATGCTAATTTCTACTCATGTCATAAATATTCCCAGATCTAATAAAAGTCCTGTAAGCCGTGTAGATGGTCTCCCAGGAGCCTTGTTAGTACACTTCCATAGCTCACCATTCATTGCAGATTGGATCAGAAGTGGATCTTGGTTCAATCTAAGCCAATCACATTGGAAGCAGAAACTAGAAAGTAGAAATTGACATTCAGACATAGTCTGTGAGCCTCCATAAATAGACTGAACTGTAATAAATAAACTTGAGCTATCCGACAGCCATATGTGTGATGAGAAGCAGAGAGAGCCAGAGTACAGAGAGAAGTATGGAACAGGAGGGAGGATGGAAGCAGAGGTGGAGAAGGGATGCTGCCTGGCTTTTTAGTTCCTGGTCCCTCCTGAGACCTGCGCGTCCTTCTATTCTAGTATGCAGCATGGAATTCTAACCGAACAAATCCTTCCTGCTTCTCTCTCTCCCTTCCCAGCTCTCTCAACACAAGCAAAGCTGTCTTTGCTGCAGGTCACTTCAGTCTGAACTCAAACATGATGTAACCGACTGTGCTCTGGAGCCGAAGTGAAGTTTTCCTTGATGTCAGCCTACTCCACAGGGCAACTCACAGAACTGGTTAGAGATGCATTCCTGTGTAACTAAGGCTATTAGTGGAGCTCGAGAGTCACTGGCTTCCAATAGCCCCCCAGTGCATAACAAACAGTAATAAAGTAATGATTCATCTGAATGAACTAGCTTCCACATATATATATGAGAAGGCAGTAGTACTGTTAACACTACATGCATTTTGTGTTGGTTTGGTTTTTGAGGCGTGATCGTTCTATGTAGCCCAGGCCAGTCTGGAACTCACCATGTAGTCCAGCCTTAGACTTGCAACAGTCCTCTTTTCTTAGCCCTTTGAGGACCGGTGATCCTATGTGTTTTTAAAGCTCATTCACACTTGCTTATTCCTGATCAGCTTAAAATTATGTTAACAAGTGGTTCAGATGCTGATAATATCTTTGAAGTATCATAATACTTTGCAATTACAAAATTATGAGTTTATGAAAAAAGTGAATTGTCATTTGGACTTGCATAAGGTATCTTGATAAGTTTAAAGGCATATAGAACATTCGTACTCCAGATGCACTAGACATCAAATAACTATTTAAATGGCATATTTGTGAAAGCCATGAGTAAGTTACTGCTCAGACAGAGCTTGCCTTTGTAGGTGGGAGCAGAGGCGCGTGCCTTTAATCCCAGCACTCGGGAAGCAGAGGCAGGCAGATGGGTCGACAAAGCAAGTCCTGGGCAGCCAAGGATATATAGAGAAGCCCTGTCTCAGAAGAACATAGAGCTTGCCATGTGCTAACAACTGTGCTAAGAATATTTCTGAATTAGCCCATTTGACCTCCCTCAGAATGTCATGAAGTAATTACTGTTGCCTGGGTCACCTTCCAGTAGGTGAGTTGCTCACACATTGCAGCCAGGCATTTGGACACAGGTGGATCATCACCACTGCACCACAGTTTGGAAGAGAAAGTAGATGAAGTCAGACTGCAGAAGAAATACACTCTGTGACATGTGGCACAGGCAGGTAGATCTCTGCGAGTTCAAGGCCAGCCTGATCTACACCGCTGGTTTCAGGACAGCTGTTACCTGTTGAGACTTTGTCTCAAAACTGAACCAAACCAAGCAACCCTCCCCCCAAAAGAAAACCACCACCAGTACTACCACCACTGCCTCCACCACCACCGCCGCTGTCACTGCTGCCGCCGCCGCCACCGCCACCACCACCACCACCACCACCAAAATAAGAACGTTGGGAGATGCTGTAAGGGTTTGGCAAATAAATTTTATGTAACAAAGCATAACATACAACCTTCTAAGTAAAAGGGTATAAGTCAAAACCATGTTGGTTACTGATAATTCTTACCGAGGGTTAGATGGAGAAGGTGGATTCATTTCTTTTTGGTAGTGACGGCCCTGGTTCACTGGCTGAAAGAGACAAAACATCTGTGAGGTGGGAACCAATCAGCACCAGGAGCTTTATGCACATCTTCACATCAATTCTCACTTTTCAGAGTTTGATACCAGCAATTCTCATTTTTGATATTCCACCTGCAGGAAAGGACTGGGTTTTCTTTACAATACAGAAAAGGCTCTGAGAGGCCCAGCAAACCACAGGGTGATATAAATGATGAAACACAGGCCATTTTAAAACCTGATGATAAGGTTCACTGTAAACGAAGGCTACACATTAGAGTTCTCCTTGTGGAGTTTTTATGCTGTTGCTATTTCCAGAGACAGCAAAAGAAAAGTAGATCTTTTGTTGAGAGCACAGCAATAACTAGAGACATAGAAAGTGTATGTCTCAATGAGAGTAAGCTTGCAAAGATCACTTCTATTGTCATTAACTTGGAATACTCATGCAAATCGTAGGTTCCCCCAAATGTATAAGACAACTGTAAGCACTCATCAAAATGAGCGGAGAAAGTGGTGCTAATAAAAAATGTGAACTGTCAATTCCTGCCCACCCCCAACAAACCTTTCATCATTATTTAAAATACAACTAAACTCAAACAAACCAAAACACACACACACACCAAAACAAAACAAAAACAAATCAGAAAAACAAACAAATGCTAATAATGAAACTTGATCTTTCTTCTCTGGCCATAAATGGAGAAAGTTAGTTAAGCTAATACCAATTCCACTTTGACCATAATCCTAAACATTTTCCTTCTACGGCTAACAATGACAAAATTCTAACAAGAAAACCACTTTATTTTGGCATTTGTATTTATTACAGGTTGGAAGGTGGATGCATGTGTGAATTTCATTCAGAACATTGCTTCTACTCCCAGGGAAGTTGTTAAAGCGTCCTTCCTTCCCCATGTTATGTGGCCCCTCAGTGTGGATCTCAGCAGAGGCCAATAGTGTGGCTGTTCATACAGAGCCTACCTCTTCATCCCCCACAGAGCCCTTTTTAAATTTTTTATTAATTAGTTTATTTACTTTGTTTCCCAGCTGTAGCCCCCTCTCTCATACCTCCCAAACCCACCCTCCCTCCCGTATCTCCCCCATGCCCCTCCCCCAGTCCACTGATAGGGGAGGTCGTCCTCCTCTTCCCTCTGACCCTAGCCTATCAGGCTTTATCAGGACTGGCTGCACTGTCTTCCTTTGTGGCCTGGTAAGGCAGCTCCCCCCAGTGGGGAGGTGATCAAAGAGCCAGCAACTGAGTTCATGTCAGAGAAGGCCCCTGTTGCTATTATTGGGGAACCCACTTGGACACTGAGCTGCCAGGGGCTACATTTGTGCAGGGGTTCTAGGTTATCTTCATACATGGCCCTTGGTTGGAATATCAGTCTCAGAAAAGTCCTTGGGCCCAGATTTTTTGGTTCTGTTGCTCTCCTTGTGGAGCTCCTGTCCCCTCCAGGTCTTTTTATCTCCCCCTTCTACCATAAGATTCCCTGCACTCTACACAAAGTTTGGCTATGAGTCTCAGCATTTGCTTTACTATCCTGCTGGGAAGAGTCTTTCAGAGGCCCTCTGTGGTAGGCTCCTGTCCGGTTTCCTGTTTTCTTCCTCTTCCGATGGGTCCTTATTTTAAGGGGTCCTAGAACATGAATAGCACAGCTGGTGGAAATTTGTAAGTGTATACTCTTTTCCTCAATAAACACTTTCTAGAAAGCGTTCCTGTAATTTGTATTAAACACCCGTGTGGTAATCACATCTCGCAGCCTGGCTACCTGTGATGCACTGTGGTGCACTCAGATCCTTTGGTAACTGAACGGCATCAAAGCATCACCATTTCAGTAATAAGAAACAACAGCTGGAGAACAGTGGAAGGGAAGCGTGTCATAAGGCATAACTCATCTCACCAGAGAAATCAAACTTTCAGCAATTTGCAAGTAAAATTTGGTTGACAATTTAGGCTTTATTATTTCATAGCAAGAGAAATTAGCAAGCGAAAGGCCTAACGAGTTGCTTCTCTGGACCAACTCCCACTGGTATAGGAAGTTATTCCCAACAATGCATTCATTGGTATTCAGTTAGCACTTCAGTAGCACCGAGGCCTCCAGTGAATGGACTTCTGCCTATTTATTCCACAGGCATTTCCAAAGCTGTCTGAGCATTGCAGTTCCGATATTCAAGCAAATGTCCACCCCTGAATCTTACAGCCATTAACTCCATGTACAGTCATCCAAAGCCCTCATTCCAGATGCTGTTTTTCCTCCATTGGAAAGGGCCTACTATGTTTGGAGCACTGCAGGCACATTCTTTTTCCTCTTTGGTCATGTTAGATAATGTAAAACATATACAAAGGGGGAAGAAGAGCACAGCCAATAATGGCTCACAAGTGTTTGAAAACGGTCAACAGAAGCTTTTCAGAGAAGTAAGAACTGTTCACATGAAGGGGGGGGGAAGGCCAGTGGCTGCCTGTCTGAAGTCAAATGTCACCAAGTGGGTGCTATGGAGGTTTAAGACATGCTGCTCCACATGCGTTATCTTGCATCTGAGAAGCAGAAGCACCGACAAGGTCATACATTCCTGTCCTTGTTCTTTACCTCTCACACAGCTCATAAAACCTCGGAAGGACTTTGTGATCTGCCCCTGAATCAGGCCACGACATCCTTATGTGACTGGCACCCTCCTCCTGGGACCCAGAAGAAAGGAAAAACCTTATCGCTGAAGATGCAGGAACACGGGGAAGATGCTGATCAAAAGGCCTTGCTAAGCTATCCCTGTGTATTTCCACTAGATCATATCACCTTTATTAAATCATATTTCTCCATGCGTTTCCACTTTGTCAAATCTAGCATGACACCATGCATTTAAATGCTTCTCTTGGAAGATAAATATTGAACCACTTTTTTGTGTTTTCAATTATTTTTGAGGGCTCTTGTATCATGGAAAACTTATATGAAATGAATTTGCAGGCTTTTCTTTAACTAATCTGTCTTCTGTTGTAGCTCCTCAGGCATGGATATAGGGTGGGCAGTGAAGGAGGCATTTTTCCTTCATATGTGTTTCTCAATATATGTATCAGTAAAGTTATTTTTAGGTAACACCCTGTGATGGTACCTATAAGAGAAAATAAAATTCAGGTTTGATTTAGAATTTGGCCTTATCTCTAAAAAGCCATAAGTAGATGCAAAAGATCATTATTGATGGCTATAAGTAACAACAATACCAATAATGGCAGCAACTTACCAGGGTCTACAAATAGCCACAAGAGCAACAGCAGTGACTTATATTTAGTGTACATTTACTTCCTTCTAATTCTTGAGAGAGATGATCTCATTTGCGCTCTACAGCAAGTCCGTGAACTATCTGCAATAGAGGATATTCAGCTACTAGTATTAACCTAAGATCATGCCTGCCAGGGAATAGTGCAGCCAGAATTTATACCTATTCAGCGGGAGTTGACAGCTCTCTATCTCAACACTAGTTTGTTTGTACTATTTAATGCAGTTCGGGAATTCATGCAGAATGCGGAATACAATGTTCCCGAGTAACAACACAGCAGGATCCATTCAGTATATGGCATGAAAAAAAAAGCAGTCCAAAGATACATTTGTCTGAAGTGCATGAGATGCCCAATTTTTATAAATTAAATCCACTTGCTATGATTCTCACCGCATGTCACTATATATTTAACAGTAAAGACAGTAGGTTCTTACCACACTGATAAACTTGGGCCTGTTGTCATTAAGATACAACAGACAGCAAGAACTGTGAATATGGAACGTTTATATTGTGCGGTGACTTTCATAGTCACTAGCCACAGAACAACTCACACATTTCCATATTTTCTCCTGACAGCACAGAAATTACTGTGACTCTAATATCTGATTTTTTTTGCTATCAGTTTTATAATTTTATCTTATTTTATCTACAGCTTAGCACAACCAAACCCTTCCCTTCCTTGTCTACCCAACAGACCCAACATCCCCTCAAAGAGCTGAGGAGTTCTCTGCAGAGCAGAAGAAATAAAGATCTATTAGGTATAAAACACCTACAATGTCAGTTTTGTGTACACAGGAGCCTGGAGTCATAAAAAATAGGCAAGAGCCTGGTAAATACACAAAACAGAGCCTGGCAATGGCAGAGCTTGTCCTTTTGGTGGCGCTGTTGTTATGCCCTAGTGCCAGGAGAGCCGTGCTCATAAAATTAGCCACCACCCAGAAGCTTTGATTTCCTATGATCAATTTTCTGGAAATGTTGAGGTAAGGGAGAGCAGGGAAGGCTAAATAAAAGAAGAAGAGATAAGATAATCCTGCTATGTTGAGAGTACAGACAGTATTTTTATGTTGTTATGTAAAATCTATTGAAAATGGCAATAATATCGCAAGGTTAATCAAGGCCATAAATAACTTGTCTGAGAGCCTCACCATATGCTTGGGATTTTATTAAGTGAATTTTGCCTCATTTTTCCCCAAATATTATGCTCTGCAATATGCCACATTGATGGATGCATAAAATGAGCATTTAAATCCCCCTCACTCCCTTTTTCCAAGCTGGGAAGGCTTATATATTTGATACTAGGTTATGGTATGAGGATTTTTAATTTGAAGGAATGATAGCTTTGAGGCATCTACTCAGAGAACAGCATGAACATTAGGCGTGCTTTTCTTGACTCTAGGTTCAGAGGGACAGAAGTAATGAAGTAGTAAAACAAGGAAACCACCAAAGACTAGGGGTCGGTGTGGACACCAGTGCGTAAGCTCAACCAAACAAGCACCAGCATATCTTTGCTTGTATGGCCCTATTCCACGTGTATAGCCCAGTCTGCGTGCACAGCCCCAGTCCACGTGCTCATTTCCAGTCTGTATGCATGGTCTAGTCCGTGTGCACAGCCCCAGTCTGCGTGCACAGCCTCAGTGCACCTGTATAGCCCTAGTGGCCACGAAAAAGGGGACATGCTGGAAAACTTGAAGAAATTGCTTTGTGCAGCAGCTGGTCCCTGCCCTGGAAGCTTGGCTCATTTGCTG